CAAAGACAGACCTTGAAGTGTTAGTGGAGAAACCAAGAACGTATCCATCAAAGGCCCTCATCATGAGGTTACACAGTCTCACAAGATGGTATGGAAGCCAACAGAACGCAACACCACTCCAAAGAAAATTAACTGAACATCCCTCACAAAGTCCAAAAAGTGAGAAAGGTTCACTGACTGGTGCCTAATCCAAGACTGAAGAGATCAGTTCCTTATTCCATCTCAGATTTTCTGGATGACTTAGAATGTGTCACTTAGCTTCCGCAACTGGAAAATGAAGATAAATACTCTCAGCTTCCCTTACTGTGACATGAAAATAAACACATGAAACGGGGAGACATTCAAACAGCTTGGCGATAGAGTGCAAGTATTGCAGACAAATAGGAAATAACCAAGTAGTAATAATCAAGTAGTGCCCAACGCAGAGAGGAGATGCTCCAAAATCCTTCCTGAAACAAAAAAGGAACAGAGGAAGCTGGGGAGAAAAAGCACCTGACACTTTCTGACTTGGTGCAAGTTCACACACAAGAAAGCAAGGCACCAAACTTTCTCCCCTCTCTTTCTGCTCCCAACGCTCACATTTAACAGGTTGTTTTGCTTCAACATTTAGCAGGAAGGCTCTTCTACAAACAACTCGGAGAAGAGGCCTCACTTGGCTGCCCTGCATTGACCTGGAGGAACGCATCCCATTCCTCTGAGTACAAAATGCTGCTGAAGCCACCTGAAAAATGTGGACATGGAGCTGAGAAGGCTGCCCAGAGAGAAAAACCTGCCCTGAACTTACCTCCGTGGGCAAACTCTGGGATATTTACACAAGATAGCTGGCAAGGGAACTTTGTAAGGACTCTTCTCATGTGGAAAAGCTTTTATTTACTAAGGTTTCATACAATAGGATTTGGTTTACAACTAAGGGAGCATTTGCCAAAAAGCTTCAAAGGGGGAGGGGAGGCTAAGGTGGTGGTGCTGAGAGAAATAAAAGACTTTTACCATGTAAAATGTTACTGATAAAAAGCCCAGGTGGTAGCATTGGAAAGTATTACAAACAAAATCGTGGACAGTCAGACAGTTTCTATCGCAGCTGCGTATAGCAAAAAAGGACCACAAACAGAATGAAACATTCCCTGATGAAAACGAACTGATAGTGCACCTGGACAGCCCCCTCCCGCCCGCATTGTTCCCGGTGACCCCAGAGCCCTGCAGCCCAGCCCATAAGTCACCCACAGCCCGGCCTGGCGCTTCCCAGCTTCTCCCTCCCGGAAACGGCAGGGCCAGCTAAAGAGCCCTTTGTTTCCATTCAAACATATGTAAGGGTGGAAAAGCTGTTCAAAACATTAAAGAGAAACAACCAAGGACTGTTGCTATTCCAAGAAATGAATTACAAGCTGGAGGCCGCGGTGCCCTGAGCTCTCACAGTGCCAGCTGCAGTCAGATGGCTTGGGAGTGCTCAGAGCTGCTCAGACAGATCTGGTGCTTCAAAACCACCACCTCGTTCATACTGATGGTTTTTTGCATTATAGTTTTGCTTCTGACACTGAAAACACAGAAAAGTTTTATGAAGAGGATAATAAAGTTTTTGTAGGTAGCTCGTCAACAGGGCGAAGCTCCTCCCAAATACTGCCAGTAGCTAATAAGCCATCTTCCTTTAGAACATTAGCGCTGACAAGTAACATAAACAACGTAAATGAAAAGCTATGTCAAAGTTACTGCATTGTGGGTTTCTGTGTCAAACAAGATAATGAAAGCCATAAACTGATGTAACATGAATTCAGGTTGCAGATAAAGGATTAAGCTTTCCAAAGAATTATAAATAAAAGATGTCACTGAGATAATTTTTTTTAAATCTGAAGTCTATAACTTAGAGGGAACTAAACATTTAGTTGTATTACATAATTTGCATTTTTGTATTAATTAAACGGCACAGGGACCACGAAGAACTTATTGTTTGTCATTTCTGGCTGAGGGTGTTCAGGCATAATTCAGAACGCAGCAGCAGACTTGGCTAGAATTCTCCTCACATTTTCACAGAGGCTGGCTGGCGACATGTACATTACAAAAAAAGAAGAATAAGCAGATATCCACGTAAGATAAATACATTCCATTCCCTCAAACTGCGCTCAATGCAGACAATTAAATCCTGTTTTCCCTCTCCAAACGCTTCCCACTCCTTTCATTCTGACACTGCTAAGCACACACCACCATTTTTTGCCTCTTCAGCCCAACCACACCTAGCCATCCTTGCCCAGGCCACGTACACATTTTGCTCCTTCTCCCACACTATTTTTTAAGAAATGCACTGTCTTCCATTTCGAAGACTAACCTGTTAGTCTTAGTGAGAACTAAGTGAAAGAGAACTAAGAACCTAGTTTACTGAGCACTATTGGTGACAGGTGGGTGGATGATCTTGTAGATCTTTTCCAACCGTAGTGTTTCTGTGATTCTGTTCCCATCTAATCTCTCTTGCCCCTATGACTCCCGAGTCACTCCACTGATTCACTTAGGCCACCTGAAACCAAGGCATTATCTCTATGTTTTGAAAATGCTGCTTTTTGCATCTTCTTCCATTTCATCTCTTCCCTCTAAAACAGACAATGGAAGTATTGAATTTTCTTTTCCCTCTCAAATAATTTTTCCTTCTTCCAAGTAACTTCTTCATAAGAGTTCAACATCCAACACAATGACAACAAACATATAAAGCACTGTAAATCTCTTTAGCAGTGTTACATAAATCTTGAAGTGTTTAAAATATTGTATGTACTTCGTACATTGTATTTCTTCTCTTTCCATACCATCCTCTCAATTCTCCAGAAGACCAAGTCCAATTGCAGGCTTACTATCTGGAATGTGCATCTTCATTCCTGCTAAACCATCTCATCACTTTGCCATTCTCTACATATGCTTTTCATTTCTCTGGATTCAAAGGCTTTAGGATCAATTCTGCCCCTACAGCACATTTGTACATTGCCAAATGAAGGCTGAAAATAAATACAACACACCGACAGTGATCATTGTAATTAATCTGCAGAGACTTGAATATTTTAATTTCAAAGGTAAGTAATATGCACCTGTCTGTCTCAGGTTTTCAAGTTTCTAATGAAAGAGTAAGATATTAGAAAAAGCAACTTATAGTTCAATGTTAAGAATCTCTAATTTAAGGTTTGATTTTTAATCTACACTGGTATTAAGTGCTTAAAAACAAAAACAAGAAAAACAAACCAGCAGAACACAGGCAGAGCCAGAACTCACTCGCTCAAAGCAATGCACTTAATTTTTTCTTTTTCACATCAGTTACAAAATGAAGTTTCTGATTTTTAAGAAAATCAGCTTCAACAGAATTGAATCATACAGTCATGCACTACCACATTCTGAATCCCAGGTAGCATAGTAACCATGTACGTGGAGATGGAGTTCTCTGTGATATTAATACAGAAAACAGAGGCCATCCATGCAGTCTCATTCATACCATGCTTCTAGTATTTCATATGTAAGATAAGACACAGGAAATGATCTCCATTTAATGAAAAAGGTGGAAAAACAAATCTGGATATTTATGAAGTGTCAACCAGACTAGTACATCTTGCATGTAACTGAGATGCATACTGAAGTACTTTAAAGAAAGATATGTCAAACAAGCAAAGAATTTTTGTTAGAAGAATAAGCCACACTTACATCACTCAAAACAGCTCATACTATTTCAAAAGCTTTTTTTTTTATATTCTTCCCATCACTATCAGTGAGGAAAAATGGACTTGCATATTAAGGCTAGGCTATGTTTAGCTGTATCAGATAATGACTATAAATGAATTGCTTTTAAAATGTGACATAGGCATAAAAAAATATTGGCTATGCTTGCAATTCAATGCTGTCTTTATGGTAACTGTTGACTTACACCCCTCAAAGTTTGCACAAAGACTATATATTAGAAGAAACTAGTCTGATAAGACTTGCTTTTAATTTCATGATAGCTGCAAAAATTAAAATATAATACATATGCATTTATGTAACGACCACAACATTATCAGAAAACAGAAAGCTACTGACTGTAGTTTTCAAAACTAAAAAATTTCAGACCCTAAAAGAAAACCTAAATTCTTCAACTGATAAAAAAAGTAAGCATGTGAACAAACAATATGAGGGGAGAAAAATATCAAATAGAAGACTGATGGCATACACAAACTGCTTTAGAGCAAAAAAGGACACTTAAAATAGTACACAAGTATTGCTTGTATTCTCTTGAGTTTGTGCTACTTATCTCCAAATTCCAGTAACTGCAACAGAACGTTAAAAAAACCATGTTTAAAACAAATAAGTTTGGATACCCATCAATATTTAGAAGTTACAAATGTTTTAAAGATGTACAAAACAAAAATAGGAATGCGTAGAGTAAGAGTACTCACTTGTAACTGTAACCTGTGTGCCTTCTACCTTCAGCCTTGGATTCCCTACATGATCTCTAAGTAAGTTTCTTAGTTTATCAAATGCATTTTTCCTTAAAACTCAACCAGTGATATTGTGGTGATATCGTCCTACCCACAAACACTAGAAGAAGGAAATTCAAGTTTGCAATGGAAAATTCAGAGGAACTGAGATCTGTTTTTTAATGCTGAAAATGCAAGAGGCAAGCAAACAATCCCTAGAAAAGCACAGGAAAAGTACAGTTTCATTAGAAGAAAATTCTGAGAAACAAGAAGTTCTTGAGGGAATGCAGAGAGAAATTGATGGATCCAAGAAAACACTACTAAGTATTGTGTATTTAGAATGGGAAAACTTATGTATACCTCAGGAAAAACATCCCATTCACTTCATTACACAAAACCAACAGTAACAAATTTCAGTTCTAAACACTTACCTTTTCCGATTTAGAAAAACAGATCTAGCTGGAACAGTCAGCTTGCTAAAGTATGGTTTTTACTGTTCAACAGTGAGTGTTTTCTCCTACCACAAAGGCATTTTTATATAGGGTACCAAGTGATAACTCATGTTGCACAACTGTGAAAGGATACGAGGAGTTCCTTCTGTCCTGCACACCAAGTAGAGACACGCAGCAATTACATGGGTCATCTTTCTCCCCCGGGTTAGATGCTTGCTTACAGCCATCTTGAAAAAATTGAAGGCAGTATCCAGACAATGTTGATTGAGTTGAAGCTGATTTCCTAAGTGGTGAATCTGACGTTTTCCTAGAAAAATTAACAAGGAAAAAATTCTTAACAACTTCATAGTCACTTTTCGGGGATGGAGGGAGTAGAAGACAAAACCAAGAGAGTGGATTTGGGATTTCTCTGTGTTAAATAGAGAAGTTAGAATGCAGCAAATCACTCACGTTCCTGGGAGCAGTATCATTTCTTAGGACAAAAGAAAAAAAGCCTCATTTTGGACTCCTATAACTGAAATGCGTTCCATCAGTGCGCCCTGGAAAATGAAAGCTCCAAAGATCCTCCAAGAGAGAATCCAAAACATAGCTGAAACTACTCAGATAAAAGATTACACACCCCTCCCCAAACATAGTTTGAAAGTTAGCACTCCGGAGATGAGCTTCTGAAAACTTCAGATCACTGCACGTTTGACATTAATGTACAAACAAAGGAGACATTCTGCTGCATCCCTCCAGGAACTGATGGAGTTTGCAGTTCCTCTGACCACAGCCTGAGCCTGTAAGGAAAGGAGCTGCTCTGAGAGCTTGTCTGTGATTACAGAGATAGGGAGGCACTTCCTTCCTCCAAACACTTTCACAGCAGAGCCTTCATTTAAGGCTTGGCTGCCAGAGTGCAGAGATTTGTTTGTGGCTTCAGGAAAACAAGTGTGCCTTCACCCTTAAAGAAAATAATGAAAAAAAGTGCTTCATATGATTCGTAGCAGGAAGTGGTACAGCTGCTAAGACAGATGTGGAAGGCAAAGTCTCGTCCATTCTCACAACTCCAGCTACGGAAAAGTACGTCGAACAGACAGCTTAAAAAGGAGATGGGGGAAGTCATGAGGAAAACAGTACTGGAGTTAGGCAGCATTAGGGGTCAGACAGCACATCAAGAGAAATCCTTTAATTCAATGTGTTGGACAGATGTTTCCAGCACGTGTATGCACAGGAAGCACTCATCTGCTCCTTTCAGAGATGTTACGAGCAGCTTTGCTGAAGCTGGCACAAAGCCGGCCCTGTGCCTCCACCACCTTTCCTATGGAGAACGACTGCACAACGCTCACCCAAGTAACACCCACAAACACTGCGCTTCTTAATTTTATGCAAATTCCCCCATAATCATCACTAATAACACAGTGAAACATTTAACCTCTGAACAACCTTCTGCCAAAGCACTATTTCAATTCGGCTTTAATAAAGAGCGACTCCAGAAATCCAACCAGGGTCAGTGAAACTCCAGACAAACAGAATCTACAAGAAAGCTGCAGCTTCTGCTCTCAGCACACACAACAATTAATGCAGTTGTCAGAGAGATCTCCTCTAAGTCACTTTGAGCAACCAAGTACAACCCATTTGGATGAAGAAGTAATGACAGGAAGGGTATGTCACCTTCCACAGGAGGCACTGGCACAGTAAGCTACTCAAGAGTAATCCAAAGCCCATCAAGTGAGTAGTTTTTCCACTGACATCAGCACATGCTGAACTGGGCTCTGATGTCATACTTTCAGAACAACAAGAAAAGAAGTAAAACGTGGATAACAGCTGAGAAAAGCTTTCACAAAAGCATAAAAGCAGGAGCTCCTCCTATGCAAATGATGAGCCACTTGCACTCCTGAATGTTTCTTGGGCTAACAGCATAACTGGTAAGCAGAGCCAGCTCCACAATGGTATGCCCCACAAGGGAGTGGGTCCAACATAATGCAATCACTGAGCAAGAAATGATGAGCAAGCTTGCCATGTCACCACTAGAGCAGCAGCAGTTGATGCAGTCCTGGGCACACACCAGAGAAGAATCCAGATGAGCTGCAAACACACAGCATCTACAAGGCTTTTGCCCCAGCACTGGGCTGACCTGCCCCCTGTATACAGCACTCCTTCACCCAGGAACTCCATTCTCACACAGGGAGAGCTCCAAACCTTGCAAGGCACTCCAGAAACAAAGAACGTACCAGAGGAGAAAAGAACATTGAGAAAAATGTTTGAAATTAATGTTTTTGCTTAAGCAATCTTTCCCACTAACTGGTCCCATCTCCAAGCCATCATTAATATTCTCTAAGTAGTTAACCTTCTCATAATTTCAAATGTTGAAATATAATTCATCATAATTCATCCTAAGTAAATAGTACGCTTGTTTGAGTAATACAGGTTTTTTTAGCTGAGCTTTTCATCCAGCATCAATATTTTAAATGCAATTACTTTCGGGGTGGCCAGTTATTGTCTACTGACAAATACCAAGGAGATCAGAGTGCCCAGAATGCTACTCATCCACTTAGGAAATGTTATTTCATTAAGTGTTTTATTTGACCTTCAGCAGACCACTGAATGCTTTAACTCTGTGTGCTGGTTGTTTCTGAAGCTGCTCTGCAGTATTAAGGCAGTCATACAGTTTAAGCAAAAATAAACCAATTGTGATAGTGCCACTGATCTCCAAATGAACAACTTAAAAAAAGTGTCTTAGAAGTGATGTGTATCTCTATGACTAACTTGGTTTTGTACTTATCTGTTACAGGAGAGGGAGAATGTACTATTTATAGCATCATCAAAGATAAATATTTACATGCTGTAACCAGCCTCTTATTTACCAAGGAAAGATCAAAAGATACACTGTTTTTCTCCCTCTCCCTTAATTTTACACAACAAACTTTTATTTTGTTGCTATCTTATGCAACAGAAAAAAAATATACAAAAAGCCACACACACCTGGAAAAATTAATATTATTCATTGTTCAGGATTTCTACACAAGGAACACAAGATACATAGGTCACTCTGAAAGTAATTCCTAACTACTTCCATGGAAACTACAACAGGTACAAAGAGCACAATAACACTATTAAATAGAGCTAAATATCAGCTACAACACATAGTTTTTCAGCTATGCATTTTTGCCAGCAATGAACAAGAGCCTTCATGCTGCACTCATAACAATCTGCACCAGCAGAAGTGACCCACTGCCACCACTGATGAACTGCACCACCCATCCCCTCACTGTGCTCACATCCGCTGTTTGGTCTCCAGAAACATTCAGCAAGCATTGATGAATGCCAATGGATGAAATGTTTTCTGCGTGATGGAATTCAGTGACACACCTTTGCTTCATACACATTTCCATGCCAGGTGCCATTTTGTCAGAATGCCTCTCTGCTGCCATCTGTCACACAGCAACAAAACATAGAGGGATATTAGTGGGAAGGCTCATTCTCTACTGCCATACCCTGCCATCTGCCTCCAGTGTCACGGGTCAACACAATAAAATGGGAGGCATTACTTTCGGAGCAGCCCTCGTACTTCATACCCTGATTCCTCCACAGATACAAGAAATGCTTCCATCCAAAAGGTAACTGCCACGAAAAAGCAAGTATCATTTGGATGGTTATTGCCTCAGTAATGACTATCAAAAGTACATTGTTCGTGATTTTCAGTCCTTTCTGCCAATCTCAGTGATCTGACACTTCTACAACTGAGAAATATGCATTTTGTTTAACTATAAATACAGCAATTGACATCTGAAGAGCAGATGTTCACATGTAGGAGAAACTGGAGCTAAGGAAATAACTGATCAATATAAATTCTCTATCCAGTTACACAGAAAAATACAAACCGAGACCAAAAACCCATTCACATCACCAGTCATCAACAAATAATTCCCTCCAAACCTACAATGTGCATCATGCCCACCAGACCTGGAATGTATTCTACTCCCACTGCTCCTTGCTAGTTGGGTGGCATTTTCTTACCTTTTATTTCTTGTTCCTCTCCTGACTGCCCCTACAGCTGGCTCTACTCTACCAGCATGGCTTCCATCAGCCCCAAATGCTGACTGATGCCCATTCTACTGGTCTGACCATATGGTCCCAGTGTGCAGCTACCCACAAGAATGCATTAAGCCTCGTAGTCTCAGCCAAAACAGTAGGAATATCCAACACTGCAACACAATTTATTAGCAATCTGTTCAACCCAGTGTACACCAGATTACATTGCAGCGTTACGAACTCATCAAATGAATTGAACTGTTCTAGTGCATGGAAAAGAATTGACATGCCTTTAAACCACATCATGCTCCAGGTCATAAAGCAAAATACCACTTCCTGACTTTCTCATCCATTTTATCCAGTAGAATGGTTAAAAATATAACAGTTAGGTACCTTCTCTTCTGCTGTCAGCAGCATGCAATATTGGTCGCCTTTCTAGGGTCCTACAGGAAGGAAATATTTTCCTTTAAAGAGAGAAGGAAGAAGCGGTCTAGAAACAACAGAAATATCAGGCAGCTGCCATTTATTTCTCTAAGGCCACACCATTGGGCAGGGTGGGGAATACAAAAAGGAAAGGACAAAAGACAAAAAGCAGCTTGCATTTCTGTGAGGATCACACAAAATCAAATCCCCAGGCTACCAAGTAGTAAACTTTATTACACTCCTGAATCAGCATCTAAAAAACAAAAGCCCTTTCTCTGTCTTTAGGACCAAGCCCACTAAAAACGTGCTTATATTCACTTAATTCCCAGCATGCAGGAAGGAACACAGTTGTCATCTCAGCTGATGCCAACCTCAACACTTTGGCCTGGCACAGAAGATTTAAGTTCAGGTAGGACAGCTGAACTGTTAACCATTTGTTTCGGAAATTTTCCATTCTTAGGACTGAGAAAACTGCAATTATTGCAGAACAAAATATAGAAGCTGCCACAAAAAAAACATGAAGAAAAACCTGGTAATATCAAATGCTTACACAAGAAGAGGTTGGGAGCAAAACTGCAGCTTACGTTCTTCAGAAAAGGGGCAAAAATCAGATCCATCCTTTACAAGCAATTTTCTTTCTTTTACGATCTCGTTACTACAGAAACATCTTGTTCTTTTCTGCTGTTCAACAGGGATCATACCTTTTTTTGGATCCCTTTAAAGTCAGTAATGTCAAGTAGCTGCAGCTACATATTACTCTCATCTGGCTTCTGCCTGCTCATCTGCAGCCCTTCCCTTAGACTGACAGAGACTAATGCCGCTATTTCCAAGCAGTACTTTTTTCAGCAAGAAGTTTCCAGGGAAATAACAGGC